GACCAAGGACTGACCAAGGCATTATTCCATCCCATCCACGTGAATGCTCGGTATAAAGCTCAGGGATCACAGTGGTCAGGCCTCTTTCCCTCATGGCCGGCATCCTGGTGGGACTCTGCTCACTCTCCTGCCTCTGACCCTGATCCATGCATCCCTGAATCCGGTTTCCCACCTGCTGTGGAGCTGAGTTCTGGGACATCTGGGTGCCCGCCCTGCCCTGTGAGCACTGCGAGCTACTGTGGCGCGGCACATGGTCATGATCAGGAAGAGCAATATCGGTTTTGTATATTTCTATTTCTAGTATTAGTTTTAACATTATTTATACTTTTTTTCCCACTGTTATTGTTCTATTAAAGTTTAAGTTTCCAACCCATAAGTCTCTCTCCCTGTTCTCCTCCCCTTCCCTCTGGGAAAGGACAGGGTCAATAGAGAGCATCTGCCACCCGCTTTAAGTGCTGGCCCAGCCTTAAATGGTGACATCAATGCTCTCCTATTCTTTCCCTGATGAAGGAAGACAGCCTGCACAAACAGTGCATGCACCTTTGAGCCTAGATGTGAAAGCAGTGAGCATCCTATAATACTACCGTTCAATGGCTTCATATACTTGCAGGCACAAGAATCAAGTATATACTAAATTCACCAGGCAGTTGCTTACATGGAAGTTCCTTTCGTGGTACTAAGTCCTAGCAATAGCTTCAGACTCTCCCCTGAGGAGGAATTCATCTCTTCACTACTAACCTCCTCCCCAAAGTTGATTCTGACATGATCCAAATCAGCTCACAGATAGTTCCTGGATGCATTTACATGCAGCTTTTCATCAACATAACTCCTGTTTCAGGTAGCAGAGAGGTGGTGGCATTTAAGGTAACCAGAGTCACCACCTTCTAAGGCCAGCGTGTGGTGTCAGTCAGACCAGAAGACCAATCCTTGAACTTAGGATCCAGCACTGCCTGTTACAAGGAGCACAAGATACTTGTACAAAAGAACAGAATCCATTCTGTTCTAGCTTTCTCGAAAGTCTACATGAACCTAAGCTAAGCAGCTTCAGTTTTTCCACAGCAAAGATAAACAGTGTCTTCTCATAACTGAGCAAATGTTGCTTCCACTTTGTGCATCAATTTCAGTCAAAGTCACATCCTGCAGATCCACTCCAGCTTAACGAAAGGCACTGCCCAACACCAAGCAGCATTCTGGCATGCCGCACAGCTCTCTCCCAACATCACAGGGATAAGCCCCACACTGCCACACTCACCTCTCCTGCTCCCACTGTCCACAGGCTCTGCCGAGTAGAAGATATAATCAACAGTGGCTCCAAGCCCCATGGGCATCGTTGTGACCTCTGGGCGTCCCCTCTGCGGTAGGAAGTGGCTGTAGACAGAGGTCAGGTTGAGGCCATGCTGGATAACGCCTGAAGACCTGCACATGAACAGCCACCGTTTACCAAGGAAGGAAAGAGAATGACCCAGTGTCCAGTACTGCAGTCACAGCTAAAGTTGCATGTTCCCTTCCTGATGCAACTGTCCAAACTATTTCTCCTTTGTGAACACATAAAAGACAGTCTTTCAGAATTATTCACTCCACTTACACCAAAGACAAAGCAGACTATGAACTTCCTTTGTCTCCAATACCCAGTACTGTCTATGCCCTCCATTCTCGACCTCACCAACACAATGCTGACAGAACAGTGCCCAGCTGCTGGGACAAATCTAGGTGGATCTGGGTCTTTCAGATAGCCCTCCTTACTCTCTTCCACCTTCACATTTATTTCAGTCTTTACTTAATCAGATTTTCAGTGCTCAGGAAAACGAGACCAGGCTTGAAGAGAGGGGCCATGGAAGGTGCACCAAATTACCTTGGGACAAATGGCTGGGGATCAGGATCTTTCACCATGGCAGCAGGCTTGGGCCAGTGTGCAGGGCGGTCTGCAAAGGAGCAAAGAGATTCCAGCCAGACCTACATAGATCCTGGAACAGGCTGCTCATCCCAAGTCTGAGAAGCTTCTCCTGAGACCAAACGAATGTTTTTGCCCAAGAAGAGCAGAGAGCTTCAGTCACAGGCACCTTAAAGAAAAATATTCAAAGGAGACCCCAGCTCTAAGACTAACAGGAACATCCTGAGAGGAGATCGCTGCAAACAACTGAGAAGTCATATTCTGTCCTGCTAAGGACATGTCCTTAAAGCATTTAATTTATCAAAGCTCAGAGTATTTCAAACTTTGCTCTCAAAGAAAGTTCATTTGCTTTAGCCTACAGCTTACTCAAAGGGTATCTAGAAAGGTAGAACAGAAATGGAGAGAGCAGGACCAGCCATGCCAAAAGACTCAGAGGTGAGGCAGTGTCTGCTGGGTACCAGCATCCAGAGACATCTACGTTTTGGCGATTGTGCCATTACAATCCTCAGGTTTGTTCTCTCCCACCAAAAATCTTGAAGCAGAAAAAAAAAAGAAAGAAAAAAACAGAAAAAAAAACATTTCACTTTATAAGAAACAGCCTCCAAAAGAGACTGAATCTCAGTGCATGTCAAGGAACACTGTGTGTATGACAGTGGTAAGATTGTACTCCTCTGAGCTGTCATGGAATCCATCAGTAATCACATAGTCACAGAAGGCACCCTTCTGCCTTCCCCTTTTCTCCCCAGGCATTACCTCCACCTCATGTTTTCACCAAAATTGAACTAGGAGAGACACAAGCTGAAAAATCTCCCATTAATACCTGGTTTAGCATCTGTCACACCTTCCAAGAGGACCAGCTGAGGTGGTCGTTCACAGGCAACATCGCAAAAATGAAACTGGAGCAGGAAGTCCCGGCTGTACTTACGTCTACCTGCAGGAAAAAATACAAGTTAAAAGATGAAAATAACTGCAGCAAAGTCACATCTACAGGAAACATCTGCATATTCTTTAGACCTCTTAGACCTATTTAGTTTGAGGAAGGTTTTTGTGCCCAAGCACCCTGCTGTCATGAGAATGGGAATCACTTAATAACCTAAATGTAGAACAGAACAGATGTGTAAATGTAGAACGGAGCACAGTTATTGCTATCTCTTTTGCTAACGCAACAGTCATTAGGTGCTGCAGGGTCAGCACCTTGATGAAACAAATTAAGAATGTCCTCTCTGAGACACAAGGTCAAGGGACTTTTAAGCAGATCAGTTAGTGTGCAACTCAAGTAAATGTCTGCTGAAAAATTAAAAACAATTCTGGAGACCAGGTTGAATACAAGTTCTACATTCAAGATTCCAACAAAAGCTATTTAGTGTGGGCTCCTTTTTTTAATCCTCTCTAAGGACAGTAGAAAACAGTCATGACTGTAACTGGGCTCTTAGGAATGATTTCCTAACATTCATGTGCAAATACTGCCCAAAACTGCTCCCACAAACATCTGCAGCTCAAAGCTGTGGCTGCTCAACACAGTTTACAACCACACAGAAGCTTAAGTCTGGGAATATGAAAGGGATACGCAGAGCAATGGTTACTAGTAGGAGAACATTCAGCTCCTGACTAAAGAAAATGGCAGAAATTGAGCTACAGCAATAGACTCCAGAAAAATTAAATTCATATACCAAGGGAACAGACAGAAGAAGAGAATCTTTGCTGAGCGCCTTATGCAACACATGCCCAAGTTACTCAGAGGGATAGCAAGGCCCACAAACTGTCCATCCTCAGCAAACTCATGTTCTTAGTACACACTGAGCTCACCTAGTTTCTTTGGCTGGCACAGGGTGACATACTGGCAGTTGTCTGTTACACCCAGTGAGCTCGGCCACAGTGGGGCCAGCAGTTTCCGTGAATACAACTGTTGGGAAAAGTCTTCCTGACCAGACACCTGCAAGGAGGCCAGAAACAGGAGAGGAAAAAGTCAGCAACACAGAGCAGCACTTTTGCAAGCTATAGGTAATGTACATACGCTTGCCAAGAGCAAGACAAGAGAATGCCCTCATAGAAAGGCATGAACTAAGGTATTCAGAACATGGTGCAGACACAATAAAACCCTTCAGCTGTGGGGGACGGATATAATTAGCTAAAAGTCACCTGACAAGATACTTTGCCGGTATCTATTATTGAACTAATGCTTTAGCTTGCCAATGATGTATTTGATCATGGATACACAGTAACAGGTAACCACAAGAGACTCTAGCATAGGTGCCCATTTCAAACTGTTTTCAGATCAAACACCGACACAAAATTTCAGTTAAGTCTTGGTGGAGTTGTACTCCCCCACACTTTCAGTCACCCAGGCACAAAAAACCCATAGCAAGGGAGAACCAGGACCTGAAATTAAGTAGTCTATTAACACTGGTCTGCCTCAAGAGAAACCAAAAGAGCAGTCGTGGAAACAATATGCACACATTTGTCCACTTCTTTCCCCAGCAGTGCTGGAGGCATTGGGGAAGACTGCTGAATAACCGAATTCAATATTGGACTATTTCCTCACAAGAGAAAGAATGCAGCCATGCATTTCTCTAGCAGCACACAATAAAGAGCTACCCAATCCCAGTTCTGGATGGCACCTACCTTCCAGGCTGGCATCCCATGGTAGGAAAGTTCACCGTTCCGGATGAATTTGTAAAGTGGAGAATCAGGTACAGAGTTTAGGTCTCCACACAAGATGACAGGATAGTAGCTGCCTTCAGTAGTTTTTGCAATCTTGTCGATCTCTGCCAGGAGCAAGGCCATCTGGGCCAGTTTGATATCTCCCCGCCGGGGATTGAACAACACATGAGTGTTGGCCACACACAAAGGACTGACTGCCTTCAGATCTAGGCCTTCCGGGAGCAGGGGCTGTAGCAGCAGCACCAAGCCCACGTTATCCCGATTGAGGATGTCTAGGCCAGGCCGGAAGTATTCTATAGGGCTGACTCTGATCAGCTGGAACCTGCTGTGCTTATAGCACACTGCACAGCCATCTGTCTTCGTCCCGGTTCTCCGTTTATAGAAGCATGCAAAGCCTGAAAAGAAACCATCACCTATTAGAAGGTTTATCCAGTCACAACCTCAGGCTCCCCCCCCATCAGCCGAGGAGTCTAGCAAGTCTGTGTAGCAGAAGAGGTTCCTACTACTTTTGGGTACAGCATTATATTCAATTCTGTTCCAATAATCACAGTTTATCATTTGCCATTGAGGATATTTTCTCCCTCCTTGTCTTTCTAGGACCCTCTCAGTTTTGTTACTCTGATCTGTCAACTCTGAGAAAGATTAATTACAAAAGAAAGGGTAAAGATCTAGGCAGATAGTTCAGAAGCAGGGCCAGCAGCCACCTGACAAACAGGAAGAGCTCTCTCAAGAAGGAGCGCTTTGAAGATGTTAAGCAGGAAGCACTGCTTGGCCAGTCCCATGAGCTGGAGGTACAGACACACAAAAGCAGGACATACCCATCTCCTTGAATGTCGGTTCCAGCTGCTCCCAGTAATGGTTCTCTTGCACCTCCTGGAGACACAGGACCTGGAAGGAAGGCAGAGACCTCACTCACTCCACTAGTATTCGCTAGTTACCTTGTTTTGAGGAAGGAAGAAAGTGGAAAAGTGCGCTCACATACCAACGCTGCAACCAGAAAGGTCACTGCTGCAACTGTCCTGTACTTGCCAGACAGAGAGCAATAACTTTCAGGGTCACATTAACTATCATTCAGTTTTCCAGTGACAAGGCAGAAGATACTTCATCACACAAAGAGGACTCAAAGAATAGAGAAAGTCACGAAGTCCTTCTCTACGCATGCTTCCCTTCCTGTGCTGCCTTATAAACCTGGTCCTTTCCTCCCCAAACATACATTATATCTTCTTCCTCTAATTCTGCTGTTTAAAGAAGTTAAGCTCTGCTATCAAAGTATGACTAGATTCTACAGCAGCACAATCAAAGCAAGACAGACACCCAAAAAAATGTATGCACAAGTCTCAAACACTCTCAGAGTAACCAGTGTTCGGTTACCAAGTAGGTAGTACCTTCCTAGGACTTCCCCCCCCAACTTTTTTTTTTTTTTTTTTTTTAAATGTTGTTAGATCAAACAAGGAATTCAAATTCCTGTGCCACTGATGTGGGAAGGGTTCAGTCATACTCACATCAGGATCCCAGTGCTGGATCTCCTGCAAAAGGTTCGGAAGACGGTAGTTCCAGTTCAGGATGTCTGGATGACAGTGTAGATAGAGATCAAGGCCCTGCTCCACCAGGTCCTGGGCAAGTATGTTGTAAGACATGACTCGAAATTCAAAGAGAGGAGTGTTTTTCGAGACCTGCTCTAGCACACAAGGCTGGACAGAAAGATCCTCCCAGTCTCTCCATAAAATCTCTATATGCAAGAGACAAAAAGCCAAGTTACAGCCATGTTGGGTACCCTGCTGATACTTTTGTTCCCCTGGGACCCAGAAAGCAGCCTTTCTCATTCTCTAAGCTAGGGTATTCTCGCCTCTGAGCAAACCCTTACTCACTCCGGTTTTCAGGTGCTCTTTTTGGATGTCTTTGGATAGTTGTCAACAGGGATGGCATAACAGAAGACCAGAGTCAAGCATACTGAAACGCTCAACCAGCTTTTGGCTGCTTTTTATATTATAAAGCCAGGAACTGGGAACAGTTCCTGGGAAATGAACATATATCAATGTTCAGACCAGATGGTCTAATAGCACACAGATTACTAGCTGTGATCAGCCCTCCCTCAGCAAAAACTTACTTTGTAGTTTTCACTAGCAGATCCTGTCAATTCTGCATGGACAGATACAATCAATGTCTTACTGACAGCAAGCCCAGACACAATGACCCCACCACATTCACTACAAATGCAAATCCCAAAATGAACATTAGATTCAGAGTTGTTAGTACTGACCATGGTAGGGTACCTCTGTCGGGAGAGGACAAAATTGTACCATATCCTGAGTGGGCCAGGCTGGGGGCTCCCTTGGCGCTGTCTCTGCATCACATGCTAAACTCCAAGCCAGCACAGCTGGGTCTTCGTTCTGCACTTCTACACTGACAGAGGCACAGCCAGCTATCTGGTGATCTGTCTGTGGCACCACGGCTGACCAAGGGGTACTGCCTGCTACAGCCGCCGTTTCCTCTGCTGGTAATTTTGCCAGTTCAGTCGCTGCATGATCTTCTGAAGAAGCCAAGGCATGTAGCTCTGTCAGCTGCTGACCAGCACACTGGGTGACTTCTGGAGCCGAATTCAGGTCACTGAGGCTAGTCATCAATAGTTCTGAACCTTCTAACCAGTCACTAGTGAGTGTAACTGATACCTTCCCCACTGGTGGAGCACCCTCACTGGCTGGCAAATTCCCTCCTCCTTCCTCCAGCCACTGCTGCAGAAGGGCTTCTTGCTCTTCTGGGACCGATCTTCCTCTGGTCGCAGCAAAGACGCCTTCTATCTGGGTGGACGTGCTCTTCGCCAGAAGCACATTCTTTCGACAGGTAAAGAAAGCATCTGCCATTTAAAAACAAACAAAACCAACATAAGACAGATGGAAATCCTTTCTCACTCACTCTTTTCTTTTTCCTATGCATTTGCTGTAACTCTGTGCAATACAACCATTCAGCATAACAACCCAAACAAATGACTCCTCTGAAGAAAAGCAGTTACAGTCTGAACAGCTTACCCTTCCTCCTCCTGAAACCTAGGCCACAGTTCAATTCTAGTTACGTTAGTCAAAGTCACTGAAACTGCACAGGATGGCAATGGCTTTACCAACTCTAGGGAATGCAATTCGAACTTATGCAGTGCCACAGCCAGTCAGCCAAGCTAAAACGCCTTGTGGAAACTATCAGCTCTCAGCAACACATCTAAAGGCACAGCCTGTAGAAGCTAGCTGATGGGGTGCATGGGCTAAGAAGCCAAGTTCTTGTAGATCGCCACTTGGAGCAAGTTTCTTTCCAGGGACTGAGTAAGAAAGTAGTACTCGGCTAAGAGGATCAAACATATCATAAGAATGTGTTGTAGAAGAAAAACTGTTGTGTTATTAAAAGATGAAAAATAAAGACACAGAGGGACCAACATGTGCAGTCAAAAGCCTTATTAGACAGGTAAGAATTACAGATCACCTGATAAAGAACTAAAAAAACCCAGCTGTCAATGTAACACTTGAATATACTAACATTGGTGGGGTAAAGTAGAAAAAGACAGGGATTCTTTTCACTTGTATCTTTGTATAAGAGATGATGGCATTTACATTTTGCTGTGAATTCTGCATAGACACTATTCCCTACTGTTGACTAGCACTTTCTGTTGTCTACAAATCACTTTTTCTCTACTGTATCCCTGTGACAGTCAGCCAGAGAAGTAACATACAGGAGTCAGCAACATCCATCAGTGTTTTTACTGTATCTTTCATGTCAAAGCTTTCTCTATGTGTTAGAAACTGAGTTTTAAGAACCATACCTCCTCTCTGTAGTTTTGTAATTAAGTTCATGAACGTCAGAAACACCAATGCACCAATGTAATATTTTCACACACCACTAGCTAGGCACGACTGTTACAAGAGGCTGTTACTACAGGATAGGAGCTGAATTTGGGGAGTCAGCTAGCTGCTCACTATGACCACAGCGTGCCAGTGGCTGCTACAGGCCTGAGAAAAAGGTTCAGGCAGGAGGGTGACTTTACATCAGCGCAGTCACCAGGGACTGTGAGGTAGCAGCGGGATCTAGGAAACGAAGCAAGATATTGATGCACACAAAGCAAGAGCCCATCCATGAGTCACCCGCAGGTCCTCGGGGAGTCACAGACCCCACAGCAGCCCATCTCCAAAGACCTCCCCACACCTGCAGTGGGGGTCCGGGGCAGGAGGCTCGAGCCTCCACGCAGACTGCAATCTGTCACCGCAGCACAACAGTCGGCAACCGTTCCCTCCAAAAACCCAGCCCCCCGCGCTGCCCCGGGGGT